AGTCCTTCTCACAGCTAAATCAGTCAATATAATTTCCCCTCCTCTCGAGCTCCTCTCCGCTCTTATTTTTCTTGACTTGCTCAAGACTATAGTACTCGAGGTCTAGAATCGAGATATCTTGTTCGATTTTGAGAATTTAGACTGAGGGCTATTTATTCGTCTTATATCGCCCCGTGGCCATTTAATATATATGTTAATTCTCGTCAAAGTCTTGCCTATTCTTGCATTAATTGGGATGCAGTTAAACGTATGTCCACGATTCGCCGTCTTTTTAATGTTTGCCGCAATTTTAAACACCCTCTGAACTAACACCTTTGACAGCTTAATTACCAGCTGTATACGTGACCAAAGCGTTTGGGCTTTAAGTTATAAAAAGATAGCATCATGTTTGCATTTCTCCTTTTTCGTTGTGTGATATGAAAGGTTAAGAAAAAAAGAAAGCAAAAAAGTACCAAAGTAACTTAACCCTAAGACTCATAGCTCATATACGTCTAAATTTTATTTGCATGCCTGGTGATATCATAGTCTGGTTTTTTTTTCAGTTGAAACAGCATTAAAATTGAGTATTCTAGTTCTCAAACACTTGCTAATGAACCAAAGGGATCAGTAATTTTCAAGACCATAAAGTTGCCTAGTTACAATGGATTGTATTGACTTAACTTCGTTTCCCCATTCTTACGGATAATTTAAACTCTTATTGTAAAAGTCACTTTTCTCTGAAAAATAGATTCCAAAGATCTTTATTGCGACGAATTGCCACATTAGATATAAATTTGTCACATAAAAAAATTTCAGTTTAAAGTTTCAAATTTCCGATAATATTACATTTAACACCTGTCAGTAATTGAAATGAATCATTTTAAGAAACAAAAGCGTGCGTGCATGAAGTAAGCGAAGATGTGTTGAGTTGAAGGTACAACATTTAACCAAAATTTCACGCACTTAAGACAACTTTTTTGGGGTATGACTTGCTGAAATCCATAACTCCAATTTTATCCTCGTAAACCAGGCGATTGAAAACTTGTTTAGTTTTCTGTGGCTTGGGTTTTCTCCGCTTGTAAGGAGGTATTATATTGAAGTACGAGAAACTGTACGAGCGTGATATCATGTGTTCGTGAATCGTGTTTCTCAGTTCACGAGTCATGTCATACTTATGAGCGAGCTTATTCGCTACGATTTCCTTCTCCCTGGAGCTTAGTTGAAGTGCAGATTCGCTTAAAGCAGAGGTGGGACGAGAATAATCTTTCTCTCCTTCTGTTCCAAAGTCAGACAATGATGCCTCACTTTTCCCCTCTGTTTGCCTCATCCAATCGTCTGAAGTGGCAGATATATGGGGTAGTCGAATTCTTGGCTCTGATGCGGGACGCAAATTTTCTTCATCTTGCTCCTTAGCTTCTCGTGCTATTTCAGCGCGGAGTTCATCTTCGCCTAGTTTCATTCTTTCCAGTCGTGTAGTCATTTTAATCAGTCGACTGTGTTGTTTATCCGCTCTAATGGATCTTTTCTTCAGCTTAGTTTGCAATCTTCCCTGGATTTTCGCTTTCTTCTCCTTTTCTTTTGTTGTTATTTGTCCCTCCAATTTTTTCAGCTTGGAAAGAGTGTCGCTCGTTGTACGTGCTAGTCTTTGGCGATTCTCATACGGAGTATAATCCGGGCTTGCTTTTCGTTCGTTGTCTTTCAATATTCCGTGCCTTGTTTCCTTCAGGTCTCTTTGGAGCTTTTTCTTCTCCGATTTTAGCCCTTGCAGCTTAGTCTTTTTCTTTTTCTTCTTTTTCTTGTTACCATTTGGTGTTTCTAACTTTTGTGTATGTAAAGTTTCGTCTAATGAAGAAAACCTTCCCTCTGCTGCTTCAGTAAAGCGAACTTGTTTTTTTGACGCTGACATTCCTGCTTTAACGGCTCAGTGGTAAACAGTCGCGTCGACACGTTTCCGCACTGTATCTTTACACCGCAAAAGTGATATATGTCCGAGAGTAACTTCTTGTGATAAACCAGTCGTAGCCATGGTGAAAACTTGAAGCTCATAAATTTATGATAACTATCAAAGCCCCAGAATAACAGAACCGAAAACGCACCGCAGGCAATTTTCAGCTCTTTGTTTCGAACCAAAAACCCATGAGTACTTAATGACTGTCTCCGGCATTATAATGCCTTTCATTAAATCGAGAAAAGAAAAACACCCAAGAATTCTTCAAGCTTCAATGCAGTCTTTTCAAAACGAAAATAAAAAAACAAAGGACTTTCTCGGTTGTCGCTCCTAGCCTTGAATGATATTAAACCAATGACATCACAGCATTTAACGAGTTAACAGCAAACATTTGCTAACGGTTTTGACCATTGTGTCATGTTTGACGAGCAGGTGGCGAAAATTAACAACTGTATTCTAAAATAAATTGTGTCATTTCCAAAACGTCACAATTTAAAATAAATAGTCGCACTTTCCTACATTAAAGGTTAAATACACATCCTCAAAAGTTGAGTGAAATACGAGATAGGAAAGGAAGCACAGTTCCCTCGTTCCTAGAGAAAAGAGAAATATTTTTATAGTTATCTAATCGCATCTTTCAACCAAATTCTAACAAAGAAACAATTGTCACACAAGCTATGACTAAGAGCAAAGCTATGCATAGTCACGTATACAAAATTTTTGACCAACTTCTCATGATATTCCGTGCTTCTCAGCGCTTAGCGAGGTTTTTATTTTTTTTTTAAACAAAATTAAAACAACAAGCACTAAGACTGGTCACTTCCCAGGATCTCTAGGAGCTAACCTAAGAGTGGGGGGAGAGGAGGAGTAGGACTTAGTTCCAAACAGATGTTATAGGACTTACTACCCTTCACGGGAAGTGATGACGTTTTTGATGCTGCCAAAAAGGAACGGTAAGGGGGGGGGGGTGGAGAGATTTCTCCGAGTTTAGGGAACACGAGAGGCTAATTGGCATACTCTACTCTCAGTTTACGGAAAACGAGAGACCAAGTTTTTCCCAAAGTTACGCTGTAACGCTCAAGGGAGAGAGGCATTCTTATTAGTGAACTAGATTTATTATGGAATTTAATTCCAAACTACTTGCGAGGGACTCACTACCCTCGGGGAAAAATTTTTGGTACAATCCCTGACGAATGGGAAGACAGTTTTTTCCGAAGTTTAGGGAAAAACAGAGGCCGCCTCACCTTTTTTAATATTTATTATTATTATTATTTTTTTATGTAAAAAAAATAACTATGTTAGTGTGTAGAGTGTTATGTTGCTCGCACCGATCAGATCGCCGCATTAGGGTATGTATCTCGTAGATTGATGGTCAATTTTTTCAGCAAGAATGTCGCTGATAAAGGATAAAAAAAGGTTCAAGAACTGTAATTGCCTTCATTTTGGTTTTAAAGAACAATGAAGCGGAAAGTTACATTTTTCACGTGTTTGTTTATTTGTTTGTTTGTTTGTTTGTTTTGGTCCTTTTTTGTCTTTGTTCTTGTTTTGCGTTACTTAGATTTTTTTATAGAAGAGAGCGTCACGGCTACACTCTTGCGTCAACTACCTATATAAGTTTAGATTGAATAATGAAAATGCGAATTGCACGCGAATTTCACGCGAAGGTCACTTATGTCTATTTTCATTACATGGGTGGCCGAAACCGCGCCAATCTCTCTTGTTTGCTCGTCCCGGACAGCGGGATCGTCAACGGGACGTTTGGCAGTTTCCGCTGGCGTACTGTACAGTCAGTTCAAAAGCGTCGAGATTTGGTAGTGTGGGAAAAATGGCTTCAGGTGGAGGAGACTCTAGTGAAAATAATCAGGATATTCCGCCTAACGAGGACGAAAGAACTGTATTCCAAGATACTGAAGGGATTTTCAGACATTTTATGTTCCAACGCTATCAGGATGAGACACAAAGAGGAGAAGAACATGGTGAAATGGACAGTCCTTCGGCCAGCGCACGTCCAGACGCGCTGGAAGAATTGCGTTCTTGCAATGACATCCATCCATTTTCACAGCATGTACCAGTTATCGGTAGACGCCTCGGAGAGATAGGCGATGAAATAGATGCTAAATACAAAGATCAATTCAAGGATATGATAGACTCATTAAGCCTAACGCCAGCAACGGCCTACGAGACATTTGCCGCAGTCGCTCGGAGGTTGTTTCGTACAGGTATAAACTGGGGAAGAGTGGTTGCTCTTCTTTGCTTTGGCTACGAAATTGCCGTGACTGTCATACGCAGAGGTTTTAGTGGTAGTTTTCTACGTAGAATCATACGATTTGTGGTGGATTTTATCTTCAAAGAGCGGATCGCTCGCTGGATTGCTCAGCATGGAGGATGGGTAAGATTGATTGTTAGATTCACTGTAAAATGTCGGTTACTCGATATTGAGGGATGTATGGAGCTAACTAATGACTTTTGGTAAAAAGTCTAGAATAATCTCACCCTTCTCTCTGCTCGATATCCCCTTCATTGTTTATTTCTCAATGGATTGAGTTCGTTTAGAAATATCCGTAATTCCTTGTTATTTCTTAATCTGCTTGTTTAAATAAGACTCTTGTCGATCGATTGTTGGGGTGTAAATGCACGCTAATATGCGTGTAGTCGTTTGATAATAATGTGTTGTGTGCTTCATTGATCAGTGTGTAAACTTGTTTCATTGTGTGTGCAGATGAATCAGATTTTTCGATTATTTTTTTCGAGTTTCTTTTTGATGCGTCTTTTAGTGACCGGCATTGACTTTAAGCGAAATTTTGACAGCTCAGAAAGTGCTCATTAATGCGCCAATTTGAAACTTAGTACATCCATTTCAAGGAAATTATATCAGGTATCAGGTTAAAAGAAAGTTACTAATGTTTGTGTAGGGTGACTTTTGATGGAAAGGGGTTAAAATGAAAGCTTCTTGAAAATATTGTTTCTATAGAAATATTGCATCAGCAATATGTGTTGCATCAATGGAATGACTTGGAAATAATAACTAGGGAAAAATGCGAAAAGTTTTTGAGGAAGGTGTTAATTGCTTACTAGAAGTGGGAGACAAAAAAATCTGAGTCCTGTAGAAGTCACCTACTATAAATAATGTTTGCTTACAAACAAGTTTTCTGTAGTGCAGCAACAGAGCATCAGACTGGGAAATAAGAAGGTCTCAGTAGAGAGAGATGTTTTGTCTTGTTGTGAGTGTTGACAAAGAAAAAAATTCTCCATGAGGCAATTGAAATTTGGATTCTTTGCACCAGTGCTCTATTACTGAGCTGTGGATACGTTAAGGTCAGCAAGGCCATTACCATGGTTTCTAATTATGAAGGTTTCAGGATTGGATCCTCCTGGAATTCAAATTGTTCATGGTCCTATGGTCATGACATGGGAATAAAATTTTCCTATAACAGCAACCATATGTAAATTGAACCAGATTTTGTTATTGATTGTACAGAGAAAGTGTTTGTTTTAGGTCAGAATGAACTTTGTGTAATCTTGCATTTTCCTTTTTGCAGAGAGCTGTGATGGATTTTCGCCTGTCAGAACCCAGCTGGTACACAGTTGGTATTGTGCTTTTGTTAGGAACCATGGCTGTTTTCTTGGCCACTCGGAAAACATGATGTAATTTCTTAATAATAATGATATTATTTTTATTTCTAAAATTATGCCAAATAATTTGTGTCTCTTAATTTTCACTTAAAAATCAATGGTTTAACATCTGGAATAGTCTGGTTATAAGGGAGTCAAGATTTTCAAACAGTTTTCTATTTATGTGATTTTCATATAAAGAAAGGTGGACTTAGAAGTTTCACAAACCTTTGTGGATGATTCAGCTGTGAAGATGGAAGCAATAAGAAGCATCCTTCACAGCTGTACATGTCCTTAGCCACATTTACTTGTATTTTAGCATCCTTAGGGACATCAAAGTGCAATTTCAAAAGGAGAGGATGAAAATGTAATTGCCTGCTAAACTTCCTGCTACTAAGAATATTGTTTCTTTATTGAATGACTTTTTTTCAGTCAGTCTGAAATCTCAGAAAGTTGTCAACAGAGCAGTGACAAAGCAATCCAATCTTGTCATTGTAGCTGAGACATGTGTTTCAGTTCCTTTTTACTCATTGCTTTACTTGCTCCAGAACCTGGAGATCGATACTGATGACATGGGTGGTGATTGGTTTTGGGGGCTTAATAGACTGTTGAAATGTCATCCGTTAGCTCATAAGATGTGGGATGATGAGAAATCTTTGACTGAAGTTTTTGTAAGTTGCTTCAAGTTGTAATGTTATTTGGTTCATGAAATACGACTTTTTGGAAAGATGTTCTGTGAAACTGTTATCAATGTTCTTCAATGTCCTTTGTATCGATAATAATACTAACTGTGGAGATAATAATTGTGAGAAAAAACTTTGATCACAGGGATAGAAAATTTTGATATTTGTGGATTCTATTGTATCCCACACCCTCCTCGCGTAATAACAAACAATTTTTTGAGACATGTTTATATTGAAGTGATATCCAAAATTAAAAGGGGGTGTGGGAGGGGGCTGAGACCTTTCTTTTAGCTTTGATTCGATGCATAGTTTGGTAATTACTGGTAATCCAAGGTAGCTTGATTTTTGTCAAGGTAACTGAGTTCAATAGGCCTCTCCACAATAATGACATTGTTGTAAGGAAGCAAGAGGAACAAAAAAAGAAATGATGTATTGAGTTCTATAAAAACAGGATTTTATTTGATAACAGCTTCTTGGGATCATCAGCACAATCTTGAATGGCTGAATTGCAAAGGAATACACTCAGAAAACTCAGATCCTTATAGGAATTAATTCTAACTTACCTTCTCCTTTGCTTTTTACCTCCCGTGCATTGTAAATAGGCCAAGCCAAATGACAATCTCTGCCCTTACTTTTGTGTAAATAGTATTTGCATTCTCAATTAGTAGCTCAAAGCTGAACCCTTAGAAGCGTTACTTGGTTTCTACAGGCTCTTGTTGTAGAAACCTGGGTTGCTTAGCTCATTTCCATAAAAGAAAAGTTATACATGTTGCTTTAAGACAATAGTTGCCATTGACAGCTGAGTCCTGCTAGACCACAAACTTGTGACTGTTTGCATTGATAGTTGAGAGCAGTAAATTAATCTTAGTTGGTTTCCATTTCAAGAGTGGGCTACATGTAGGCTATAATGTTCTTGGTAATGTTCCCAAAATGATCTTGAAAGTTCAAACTAACAGTTGAAATAATCAAAGTGTTTCTTTGATCACTTAAGGCTGAACTGAAAATACGTGTTTATTGTCTGATTTCTGATTGAATGTCCAAAACAATCTTAACTATGTGCTCACTTAACAGAATTTTCACCAAATTTTAGTACAATAGAGAGCAAGGAAAAAAATTCCTTATTTT